TGTTAACCTTTGTTATCAGAGGTAAAATTCCTTAATTTATCTCAATTCTAGATCCCTATAAACAAAACAAATGTTCTATAGAGAGAAAGGAGTTTAATTTTAAGTGAAACGACTCCTAAATATCTAATGATTGAGAATTCAATGAATGGAAAAAATTGAAATGGACAGAGAAAAGGGAAGGTAGGAAACCTAACATAAAATGCAGTCGCTACGTGTCATGGGTCGGCTGTTGTAATGACTAAATGCAAAGACGAATTTAGAAATATCATCATGTGAGGAAGAGGTGGTCCTTTATTTTAAACATTTTGTTCTTCCAACTCTAGCTTTTAGATTCATAAGACCATAATCATCTTCATGTTGGTCAAGAAAATGCGAAAAATAATAAGAGAAGAAATTATTGTATTCTTATGTGGTCCAAACTTTTAGTCATGGTTGTTCAATGTATCAACCAAGCAACTAATCAATACATGTGTCAAGTTGTGACCTGGTGGTATCACTACAAACTGAACAACAAATTGTATATCAATCTTAACAAGTACGTGCATGTATCACTTTAATTTCTAATAATAATACACTATCTGTTTTTTCTTCATATATTGGGTAAGACCGCATACGATAAACTCTTGAGGTCTGGTCCTTCCCTGAACTCCACGCATAATGGAAACTTAGTGCACCAAAGCTATTGGATACGATCGAACCCATTGCCGATACTGTGACTCCGCCTCTATCTATCATATAGTCGAGATTCGATATTCCATGTAGTATTTTTTCCCAAATTTCCCCTTCCCTTACAATAACGTCATTTATACACGACAAATTCTTTCAATTTTGGATCTTACACAAAATTTCTGTATCTATAGAAAAGAAAAGAGTTCAAATTAAGGTGAATATAAATATCTAATGATGAATACAGAATTTCAATGAATTGGAAGTTTGAAATGGACTGAAAAAAGGGTACGATGCAAACCTCACATTACATAAAAATAAAAAATAAAAAACAGCAGCTACGTGTCATGGTTTGACTGTGATAATATAAATGCAGAGACAGATATGAAGAAATATCATGTGAGGCAGGGGCGGCAGCGGAAAGTAACAACCGTTTCTCTATTTGCCCATAAAAGGCAACGTCACGTGCTGTCTAAGCCAAGCTGCCTTTTTGATCTGTTGACACGTGTTCCAGTTCACCTTCCCTTCTCCATTATTAGAACTTTGTTCTATAGATTCTATTATCATACTGTATCTTTTATGGAGTGTAAGATACTATTATAAGAAGAAAAATTACATTATAAAATTATACGTAACAGTAAATAATTGTTCATAATAAATTGGGTTCTCATTTAAGAAATATAAGATAAATAACTCAAAACATATTCTTTGCAATTATGTAATCTAGTAAAGTAGATCTTTTTTTTACGAACCAATCAACGTCTCTGGTTAAAAGTCTCTTTGTCTACGTTGCTTACGTCATGCTGGTGTCTCGCCACGTGTATGGGTATACGTGGAAGGAATATGGAGACTGGACGGCTAGGGACCCACTGTGATTTGTTAGGTGGGCCCTTATGAGTTTGCCACTATCAATAAAGATTTGAAGGGACACTACAATATTTCTGAAAAGAAGGCCGTGTTCGATATGTGGGATTGATTCAAAAAAATAAAATAAAAAATAGATAGAAAATGATACTACCCCTTCTTTGATGTCATGATTCAGATTTTTGTAAGTTGATTGATTTGATTATATAACGTGGGCAATAAGCAATGTAGCAAAATCTTAGATCTAGCTAGTTGTATTAGGGACCTAGGATGAGATGGATAGAATTGTTTTATTTTTAACCGAGAACGAGAACTCGGTTTGATCCATGCCAATAGAAAAATTATTGGTAGAAAATATTTTTCTCTTAATAGGTTATGCGCCATGCGAATTGGGTTAGTTTGACTCGTAATTAGTTAAGATTTACGCAAGTTGCTCAATTCTCAAATAGAGTGGCTAAATATATGTTTATCACTAAAACAGAAATCGCTATGTATTAGGAATTTTCCGATCCCAAAAAGTAGGGGTGTATATGGACCGGGTTATTTCGGTTTTTATCAAAATCAAATATTGGTTTGTACTCAATACCAAATCAATTCAAACGATACCTAAATAATAATAATCACTTCAAATTCGAAAAAGATATAAAAATTTAATAGATCTTGACATATGAATATGGAATAACAAAGAGATTGACGTATTTCAATAACACTTGATAAGAAAGTGATCATACAACCCATTATTTAAGGTTAATAAATATGGAGCTCTTCATATTCTATTACATATTATATCACATAAGAGAATCTCAAATATTTCTAGACATTTTTAAAGAAAATTCTATATAAAATCTTAAAATTATATATAAAAATTATATATTTATATGTTGGTTTAGTTCGAATTTTTTTACTCAATACCAAACCAAATCAAACCAAACCAAATATAGTCGGGTTTTTTAATCGGTTTGATTTGACTTTTCAATTTGATACGATTTTTCGATTCGATTAGCCCACCCTACCAAAAAGAAATGCTAAATCTTGTTTCACTTATACAGTCTTCTTCGCAATTTCCAGGATAAAACAATATTAGAGGTATGAATTAATACTTCGTAAATACAATAGCCTCAGTTTGTTTCGAATGATTTGTTACGCCTTTAATAATTTGTCCATAAAGACATATTTATGTATGATGATTGATACCGGTGTTGTTTAATTAAAAAGGCCAATCATAAAATAATATCAAGGAGACAACACTTTGACAATTGAACTACGTTGTAGATTTATAATAATGGCTACTGATATATAACATAACAATCAAACGTGTACCTAAAAGAAGCAAAAACTTACATTGGTTCATTCCCATTCTTGGGGTGAGCCGATTTATTAATGAAATCATTAAGGATAAAGAGGACCACATAGGACAATTGACAAAAATGTTTTTTTTTTTTTTTTTTTTTT